TTTAAAAAATTTTTTTTGAGTGGAGAAAAAATTTTGTTACCTTCTCTTAATTTCTTTAAATCTATATTTTTTAAAGAAAAAAAGTTTGCAAAATTCTATGCAATAGTTTTTTTAAAATTAAGGTATATGATTTTGTGTAAAATTACACTTGTATAAAATTAGTAATTTTAAAAAATTAGTATCATAATTACATTTTTTTATTAAGTAAACTATATGTAATTATTATGTAAAATTTTGTTTAATATAATAAATTATATATGGGCTAGGTGCTGAGAAAAGGGACCAAATTGACAAAACAAAAGATCTTCAGAAAAACAATTTTTATGTTGTAGATCTTATAATAAATCATAAGAAAATGCTAACTTTAAAGAGCAATATAGCAAAATTTTATTAATACAACTACTTTTGTGTCTTAAATAAAAAACAATCCTAATCTTATTATAAATCAATTTATATAAAAAATAGCTTTTGAAAAAATTGTCAATTTGGTCTCTTTTTCCAGCACCTAGCTCATATAATTCTAAATTTTTTGAAAATTTTTAAAAAATTTAAGCTAAATATTATTATTTAAAGTCAATGTTAAATTATTAAAATAAAATTAACAAATTACCAAATATAGTAATTTTATTACTAAATATAGTAATTTACTAAATATTTTTTAAAAAATTATAAAATTTTCAAGAAATGTTATATTAAATAACTTTATTAAAAAAAATTGCTAGTATACTTGCTAAAAAATTTTTATATATACTAAAAATTATTATATAAATTTATACTAAACCTATATTAAAAACTAGTAAATCGTATAAATAAAAAAATCTAAAAAAATTTTAAACTTAATTATTTCTAAAAGTATTGTATAGAATTTTATAATTTTTTTTTTATTTGAAAGCTTTAGATTTAAATAATATTTTATATAATTTTTAGCTTTATATCTTATTTATTTAGCTTAATATAAAATTTTGAAAAGTGTCTGTAATAATATGGTACTCCACTATAATAAAGTCTAACAAAATATAAAAATTAAATTATAAAAAAAACTATTTGAAAAAATATAAAAATTATATAACAAATACTAATATCTGTATATTTCTATTATAAAGCTTCATCTTAATATATGTATATTAACTATATAACTATTTTCAGATATCTTTTTAATCCAAATTACACAGAGTAGTATTGTGTTTATAAATAAACAAGATATATAGTTGCAATCTACTGAGTTTATCTAAATTTTAAAAATAATATTAATCTTTTGAAGAAGATAAACCAAATTCTTACTTTTTATTGAAAATTTTAAAAAAATAGCAAGAAGATGAGAAAAAATAACATAAAGAAACTACTTGTTCAAATTGTAAATTAATACAGATTTTTTTATTAATAAAGAAGTTTTGTATTTTTACTAAAATTTTATATTCAAGAATGCCAACTTTTGCTAGCTAGCTTGTATTAAGATATTTTTGGCTTGCATATCAAATATATAAAAGAGTTTCTAGAGAAGAGGCTGGTTGATCTTTATAAAAACTATTATATTGTATTAATCTACTGCACTTTAAAGTGCAAATAGCTTCCCAACAAAATTTTTATTTTTTTTTAGTAGGAAAATTTGGTTTAAGTAATCATCAAAAAGAGTTGTAAAATATAAAATTCTATTATAAAACATATTTATACTAATTTATATATTTATATTTATATTATACATTAAGTTAAAAGAAATTAAACAAATTTTTATAATAATTTTTTAAAACTTTAAATAATAGTATTATAAATATTACTAACTATAACCAGTAGTAATTATCAATATCTCAAAAATATACTAAGTAAATGGGATTAGGTATTCTAAATAAAAATATTTAGGACCCCAAAAACCTCACTAAAACTAAATTTAGAACTTTATATTATATTATATAAAAAAAAAAAATTCTTAGTTCTTGCACCCTAACTCTAAAATTATCTAGGGGTGGTGATAATTACCACTGGTTATTTGTAGTAAAACTCATAGTATTATAATTTAATAAAACTTAACCAAATTTAATAAAAATTTTTTTAAATAAAATCTATATATTTGTAAAATTAATTTAAAAAGTTTTTTGCTAAATTTGAATAAGTTTTTGTTAAGTTATTCCTATTTAAATTTTAAAAAAATGTTATTAAAAAATATTTGCTTGGTTTTTATTAACTCAAGCAATATTTTTTAAAATTTAAAATTTTTATAAATTTTGTATAAATTTTTAACTTAAATTTTTTATGCTAAGGTTAGTATTTAGATTATATTTAAACTTTTTTTAAAAAAAATATAAAGCATTTTTGCTTAGAACACCATATACTAATTAATAACCAGTTTTTAAAATAATATATGAATTGTAGGGGGTGCTTATTTTCGGAGGAATACAGTATGTTGTATCCTGATTGGAATCGACCCGATTCAGAATCAGGATGCCCCAGATGAGAATTTTTACAGGGATAGCGTTAAGGTTAGAATTAGGGTTAGAATAAAAATTTGTAGTTTTTAGTTAACATAATGTTGGCCAAAATTACAAAATTCTTATTTGGGACTGTCCCAATCCGGGTACAACAAATATATATTATTTTTTATTATTTTTTGCAATATATCGCTAGTCTATATGCGGGATATCAAATTGTGCTTACAAATCATTAAAGTTAATGATTTGTAAGCACAGTTGAAACTCCGCATAAACTCGCTTTGTAATTAAATATTAGAATTCGATGACGAATATTTCGAATATTTATACAATGTTAGGATTAAGGTTTCCAAAATAGGTTAGGCAACAATATCCTGTTTATTGGATTCATAAATTTCGAATATTCGAATTTTTAACATTTGAATATTTGAATTAACGTTAAATAGTGAAAGTCAACATTTTAAATATAAACATTGCCAAATAAAACCTGGCAATTTTATAAAAAGTCAATTCAAAAAATTATATTCGTCTGCACTTATATATATGTTTAGTGTAGGGAACGGGTTCAATACTTGTATATGTTCCTTTTCTCTACAGTGTTTCATGACTACATAACGTCATCGGACCTTAGGGACACTGTATATTCTTATTAAGAATCTAGTATAACTTGCAATCGTAATTACTGTAGTAATTGATACTCAATTTCATACAAGCACCGATAAACAAATATATACAGTATCTACTTGAACTGTATATCAGAATTATGTCAAGTTTGGTGATACACCTTCAAGCACCTCACTTAGAGAACGGAAATAATTTGATTTAGTGTGATTAAACAAAATCAAAATGATAACATAATTTTGCCTTATATTACGAATATCACTTGTATTCATTTTATGTTCCTAGTAGCGTGTTATGAAGTGTAAAATAAAATGAAATAGTGTTCTTGTTAATGTGTCAATGTGTTAATGTTTAGATTAAAATTAAATAATTACAGTATGAATCTATTTTTTTGAAAAATTTTTCGGTTTTATTTTTTACTATAAAATAGACAAAATTACATATTTTTTTATTTGGCTTATCAAATTCGTGCCTTAATCAGCAATCAACCGATCAACCGAATACTTTATATATGAGTGTAAACTTGTCATCGGGCTTTCAATTATATTTTATACCGGAAACATTTTATTTAGAGATGGGCAGTAATAATAAATGCTTATATTTTTTACCCAGTACTTATACTGTACATAAGTATTATTACTAATTATTGATTATGACAAATGATTATTACTTATTACAATTTTCAAATGTAATCTGGAGAGAAAATTTTTAATAATTTTTTGATCAGATTGAATTTTGCATATATTATAATTCTTTATTTATTATTACACAAGAATACTATAAGAAATAATTAGAAATAATATGTAACTGACTTTGCTCATCACTATTTTTTTTTTTAATTTATTAGGGATTGTCCGGTGCAAATATATCGCGCACACATTTTACATAAATTCCGTGCCTTGCCTCAATAAATCGGACGCAAATCTTTAATAAGCCATCCTTTTTCATAGAGTTGCACAGACTGGCTAAAATTTAAGGTGTTCTCAAGCAACTAAATTAATAGGTCAGAGCTCAATTCCCATCAATGAAAAATAATTTAGCCGGTCGAGTTAGTTCATCATCCGCGATGAAAAAAAAAAGATCTCGCCCATCTCTTTTTATCATAGAGCTGTGCTGCAGGGACACGGAAAAAAATGCGATTTTATTTAAAGGATTTGAAATTCCTATAAATAAAATCGCACTTTTTCCGTGCCGCTGTTGTGCTGATTGGCTAAAATTCACTACCCCTCTTAACAGTAAAATTGCTGTAAGGATTACTTTAATTAATCACAGTATTTGTGCACGATCTCGATCATTAGCTAATCACATTGAGGGAGATGCTTGGGAGCACCCTTAAAATCCACATTTAATACCATGAATTATTAGCCTTATTTGAAGTCGGCTTCCAGCTGCATAATGGAGCCAAGTCGGTCAAAGCCGATGTGTTGCGGTGATTGAGCTGCGTCTTAAAGCTGTGGATTAAGCTGTAGTTTGAGCTATAGCTTGGAACTCCAGCTTAGTTGGCCACGCCCCTTAAATTTATTGTTTTAAATTTCATTATCTTGAAAAAAAAAAGTTATTATTATTCTCCATTTATCGTGACATTTATTATTTTTAATTTTGACATTGACAATCGGAGTACATGCATGAGAAGTCCGATATGCCGTCGTTTAAAACGATGATCCTGTAATATGTATCTGTTTTAAGTCAATGATATGTTTACATATTTCAGCATACAATAAATTAGGCAAAAAAATTAATGTACAGCATGATGCTCGTGATCTTTGTTAATGCAATGTTCATGATCTTTCATTATTGATGAAACACTGATTATACATAAAAAGCAAAGACCGAGATTCATGATGCTTGATAATACAATGGGTTTGATCTTTTATTATTTAATGAAACATTAATTATACATATTAAATTTTCTACTAATAAATATAATAACATTTTTTTTTTTTTTTTTTGAAAGACTTATTGAGGATTTACGGCAAATATCTCAATTTCTTCGGTAGTAAATTCCGATTCTAAAAGCCTATACTGATAATAATTTTTATAACAAGAGCCAGCCAAACCGTTACAAATTAGATCACTATTACCAAAATTTACAGCGTGATGAGTAGAAGCATAATGAGCTTGATTAGGAGTACTAACTCTGCTCAAATGCATTGTTTTTATATTTTTCATATCATCAGAATAAAACAAAAAACTATCAAGGCTATACTTCCATTCCATTTGAGTTAAAAATCCAGATTGGAAACTTTGAGTATTGTTCATACTTCTTCGATAACCTAAAGAATTGTAACCACCAACAACCTTATTAGATCCTCTAATTTTTATAACGACAACGTACGCACCATGATTTTGGCATCTATTTATTATGGCTACGTTACTAAAACCATCACGAGTTCCGCGATAAATTAGATTAAATTGGTAAGCATTCTTTTTAGAAAAAATAAATGGGGATTCTTTTCGCTCGATCCAATTTGAAATAACGGCGGCATGCTTTGGTTTTAAGATAACGGAATCGATCCTGGAGTACGCTATTCTTGCCGGTAAATCAGCATTATTTGGTCTTTTATCTTTAAAATGGAATTCCATCATCTCTTCATATAATTCATGACCGAGAATCTGTTTATATGGTCGAACTTTATCGTAGAAATCAGCACGTGAGATTTCCGTGAATCGAATATAAGGCATGAACTGTTCCAACGTTTCCCTCAACGCCGCAAAACATACCGAATTCCAATTTGAAATGTCATTATTATTTGGACCTAGTCCTGGAGTTCTTGCAATTCCCCATTGGATTAAATAATCCCACATTTCAGTTTCATCTATCCTCAGATCTTCTCGTTTTACTAAACCGAAAAGTATTTCTTTATCTAATTCGTTAAAATCGCCTGAAACAAAAAATGGTTGTGGATCTTCACATATAGATTCCAAACAAAAATCCTGCAGTTTTTTACAATTACTTAAACGAAAAACTGTATGTAAAACTTGAACAAAATTTTGTTGTACCCATGAACATTGATCTGTTACTAAATAATCTTGTACATAAATAACTAATTCTTCGAGAAGTAACTCGTCGGCCGCAACCATTAGGCTTAATATATCCCTTCCAGATTGTTTCTCCAATGCGACAACACCTAGTATGAATTAAAAGAATTGTAAATATTAAAATTATGCGTATTTTTTTATATATATTAAAATTTCAATTACCTGTATACATAAACCTATTTCAAACGAAAAATAAAATAAAATAAATATGATTTATACTTGTAATAAATAATAATAAAAAAAAAAACTTTATAAATAATTCTTAATATAATTTACATCACTCACTTAAGTATCAATTCAAATACTGATGGAGAAATATTAGGTTTAGAAAAAATGATAAAACCATCTTTTCTCGTAACCCAATTTGTTGATAATGCGCTTTTGAAATAGGGGCATCGTGCACATAAAATGTTTGAATGTGCTTTAAATTCTTTAGAATTTTGATTTTCTCCAGCTTGAATTTTTACATCATAATTTTCTGAATGTTCAAGTAACTGAGTTAAATCTCGAATAAGACTTGTTATAAATGAAGAAGTCATTTATTTTTTTATTTATTTAAATTAATAAAAAATTGAAAAAAATTAGAAATGTGAGAGGTGGATCAGTTAGATGTTTATTTATATTATATTGCGTGAAACCACATGATCGACCACTAATATAGCATAAATTACGTATTATGGTTAAATATAGCGATATCGATGTTTTCATAATATTAATATACATTTCATTTGGTGATCCTGCAAATGCTTCCAATTTTTCATGCTTCAAATTATTTTACAAACAAAAACAGAAAGTAACTGTCTCTCTATCACATAACCTAATATATTTGTATTAATGAAGAAGTTTTCATGCAATTAAAATCAAATATTGTTGCATTATTATTTTTAAATTATCGAAAATTCGACACAATGTATGCAACCAAATAGTATTAATTAAATACATACAAAATTCAAACAATGTATAAATAATAAATAAAATATTGTTCACGTTTTCATATATTTACACTTTGTGTTCCGGACAAGACTTTAACTTATTTTCTATTTCTAGAGATCTGCATGGGTCGGCCGAATTTGAAAATTAGCAAATTTGCGGACTAAGCATTCAAAAACACAGTAAAATACGGACCGAGTTTTTATAACGTAGTATATCTTTATTTTTGCGAGTCATACAGACCGACAGAAAAAAAAAATTTTTTTATTAGACCTGCGCAGGTCCTACTATTTTCCATAAGATCAGAACTTTAAAACTCTAAAACTAGTACTATAAGGATTTAATATAAATCAGCCCAAAATTGCAACTTTTTAACTATGTTACAATAGCTAAATTTAATTCTTATTAAGATAAAATGTCTCAGATTTTGGAAAAGGGTTTAGTTAGCATTCTGCATCTGTTAATCATTTCTGCTTTGTGTATCTAATCTAGTACTTAACGATCTCGATTTTCATAATTTTTTTAGAGTGTATGCCATATAAAGATTATATTGTATTCCAGAACAGGCACTGCATGATTGATCCATTTTCGACTATATCACTATCGCTATCGCTATCATGGCAACTGTCAAAATTGTGGAACACATGACAACACCCATAATGTCACAGTGGGCACCGTGATTTCAATACCCCTTAATACGTATCATAGACATCTCTGAGGACCCGGTGATGGAACTTTGGCTCTCCGGAAGATTTTATCGTCGGTCCGCTAAAGACACTTTATTATGTGTCTATAAGTCGATCTGGTTAATCTATTTATATAGTACGGTACATAAAAGACTACGTAGTGCTTGTAATCGACCCTTATTTATCGACTTGACTATACCCAAGACAATATTCTAATTAATTAATTAAATCCATATGTGCATAAATGAATACGCTGTAACTGGTCGTCAAGTGATGTTCTAACTTACATATTATTTATTATTATTTTTAGACATAAAATTAACATGTATAAAGCAAAACTAAAGAAATATTATACAGTATAATAGCAAAGGTTTATAAACTTGAGTAACTTATTTTAACACATTGATGTTGATGCTTTAAACCTTTAAACATACAAAATATTATGTAATAGTAAAGACTGTAATTACGAATAGAGTTATGTTAATTCTCTGAGATGATTACAAATTGATTGAGCTTCAATCGACTCCATTTAGGGTTCCAAACTGATTTGAAAATCTCCAACCGTGACCCGTCGGTGAAACCCGGTTGGTAACCGATTACCCTAAACCGATTATACGAATTACCCGATTGTAATCGGGTAACCCTAATCGGTCCGATTACCTATAGAAATATCGTTAAATATCGTTGTAGTGTCGGCATAATGTTTCCAATAAAAGAACTCGAATGTCCCGTTTTTTAACGGGTGACCGTTTATGTTATATTAAACCGGTTGGTATATTTAAACCAGTTTGTCAAAATTATGATCCGGTTGATTCGGGTGATCGGTTGGACGGTTATCCGAGTTGGATGTTGGGACCCTAATTCCATTATGTATTTAAAAAAGAAATAAAATAAAATAAATTGCCTAATTATTGTCGCAGATCATAATGAAATCGGATTAAAATGAAACTGGGACCTTCTTGTTCATCTTTAAAGCTTATAAAACCCACTTATACTCTTTTATTAATAAAACTAACACTACCCTAACCCTAAAAAATGTCCCCAAAAAATTTTAAATTTTCCTAAAAAAATAGAAAATTTCATTTTAATCCGATTTCATTTTAATCTGTCACAATTATTATCTAAAACTTTAGCACTAAAGCTTTGGCATCCGAAATCTCAACTCATATAAATTTTTGCATCCAGCTATTCGTCCTCTTAACACAATTTTATAAATAACTTATCGCAATACAGACATATTTGGATGCATAATTTTTCAGCAAAGGCCATATCCGGCAATACAACTTTATATAGACTTTAACGTTAAATGAAACTACATAGAGATCAGAGCTAAACGGTATATAGTGAACGGCGCCATTTACTACGCCACTGTTTATTGTTTAAAGTATTGTTTTGGCACATCAAAATTATTAGTATAATATTAATACTTTTAGAATTTATTGTCGTTTAAATAGGCATAAGAGACGAATAAAAATTTTAGATTTAATTAAACATTTTTGAGTGTTATAGTAAGAATTATATGCCGTTAGATATTAAAAAAACTGTCTTAAAATATTAAAAGAAGCTTTTAGCAAAGTTGGAAAGATAAATATTCTAGCTGGTATATAATGCTCTAAGAAATATTATGTTTTGTTTATTGTTTTATATTATCTCTTAGATTGTAGACAAAGCAGACAAATTTGTTTATGCTTTTGTATTTTTTAAGCTTTATAAATGAAAGTAACTTTTGTACAATATTAAATTTAGGGAATTTGCATATAAGGGCCCAAAAAATGAAAATAATTAAAAGTGAAAATAATCGCATAAAATTTAAGAGCCAAAAATTTTGAAAAATATTACAATCAGCAAATTTTTACATATAAAATTATATAAATGTAAATTGTCTTTTGACATTTAAACGTATTATTTTTAATCAGTATTGAATTGAAGACAAACAATAAATTTAAATACATTATTAATAAAACAAATATCTTTAATTTTTACTTATAAATAGGGGAGGTAAGACTTAAATAAATTTTGAAAAATTTTAAAAAAACTTTTCAAAAATTATTTTGGCAAGCAAATTTGTCCACTAGCGGTTTAAGGGATAAACAATTTTTTAATAGTTAAAAATGAATAGTTTAATTAAATAAGCTGCTACATTACAATAAACAGATTAACAAGCTACAAACTATCTTTTTTCTTTAAAATTTATTTTTAATAAAGGTTATTCAAGTATTATTTTATATTTATATATAATAAACAATAAATCTTAACAAATTTCAATTTAATTAAAAAAATAAGCAATTTATTTTAATATTTGAAGCTTTTAAAGCAAATAATTAATATATTAATATAAATACAACCTATTTTTTAAAATTTACAGCCATTTTTATTATTCCTGGAACATTTATAAAAAATTAGCTGAAAAAAATTTTTGGTTAGTAATTTTTTTGGCATGATCATTATATAAAAATATATTTTTGAAGTCATTCAATTTTAATTTACTGTAATATTGATATAATATCTATGTCATAAATTAAATATATTTTTGAAATTGTCAATTTTATTTACTATAATATTGATATAATATCTACATCTAAATTACATTTTTGGTCCAATTTCAAAATTACCATAATAAATATAATACCTGTTCTATATACAAATAAATTTATTATTATAATGTCAATATTATTAAAATTTCATTTGAATGCTTGCCCAATATGTTTAACATGTTTAACTTGTGTGAAAGTTTATGGAAAAGATTGTTCTTGTCAACCAATAAAACTTGACAAGAAATATAAATAGGCTCTAGATATCAAATTAGATTTTATAGTAAATATATCACACAAATAGGTGCTAATATTAAAAAAGTTAAATATAATCAAGAATTTGTCAATTGAACTAAAAATTCAACTAAAGTCGAAATTTCAAAAGATCAAGACTTCAACACAATCAAAGTGAAACAGCAGATCTAACAATTAAAGAATTTTTATTGTCTATAACTTGTCAGAAGTAAATGCAACTGATTCAGAAATTAATAGTGAA